GATCATATCTAGAATAAAAGAACTGCCTGTCTCTGCCAGAACAGTTGAGAGATGCATAAGCGAAATGGCAAAAAAAAAATTAAGGAAAAGCAGACAACTGCATTAAAAGACACAGCAGTGTTTAGCGTTGCAGTGGATGAGAGTGTGGATATAAATGATGTTCCACTTTTGGCAGTTGTTGCAAGACATTGTGCTTCCGATGAAATCAAAGAGGAATTTTGTTGCCTAAAACCCCTGTATGGCACAACAAAGAGGGAAGATATAGTGGAAAGTTTTGTAAACCATTTTGAAGAACGAGGAGTTGACATCAGAAAAATATTTTGTGTGACAACGGATGGTGCTCCTGCCATGGTCGGAAAACAGAAAGGATTTGTAAAGTTACTTGAAGATCAAATTGGCCGCCCTACAGTGAAATTTCACTGTATCATCCATCAAGAAAACCTGTGTGCTAAAATTTCTAATTCAGAGCTTAATAATGTGACGAATACAGTGGTGCGAATTGTGAATTTCCTTGTTGCTTGCTCTGCTTTGACTCACAGACAGTTTCAAGCACTGTTAGAAGAGATGGACAGTGCTTATAACGACATTCCACGACACAGCAACATTCGGTGGCTAAGTCGTGGCAAGGTTATGGTGAGCTTTGTAAACTGTTTTGATGCAATCAAGGCCTTTTTGTCGGAAAAAGGACAAAACTACCCCAAACTGGATGATGATAAATGGCTGTGTAAGCTCATGTTTCTAACTGACATCACCACTCACCTAAACAAACTAAACCTCTGTCTCCAGGGTGCAGGGCAAACGGTTCTGAATCTTTATGAAGCCTGGAAGGCATTTGTTGTAAAACTAGCAGTTTTTTCTCGGGGTATTCAAACTTCTACTTTCTGCTACTTCCAACACATAAAAGAGCTATCAACACGTTGCACTGTCAGTGTCGATGAGATTGGAATGTACATGCAAGAACTGGAATCAGAATTTTCTGTCAGATTTCAAGATTTCCAGCAATTTGGCCCAATGCTTTCTTTTCTAATTAAACCTGAAAAGTTCAACGAAAGCGACTTGGATTTGTCTGTATTTCAGTGGATGGGTGTTGAAGATTTTGAAATGCAGCTCATTCAGTTAAAGCTCAGAATTGTGGGCATCAAAGTTTGTAGATCTGCGGAGTGCACTTGAAGCTACCGAGAGAGATCATGAGGCATCTATTCTGACCTGCTGGACGTTCCTTCCAGTGAAATTTAACTCTTTGAAGAAAATTGCGTTTGCAATGCTTTCAGCATTTGGATCCACATACCTGTGTGAACAGGTATTTTCACATATGAAATCTGTCCTCTTCCCTCTCGGAGCCGGTTAACAACTGATCACTCAGAAGCCTCTGTGCAGCTCAAAGTATCCGAATACGTGCCAGACATTGGAAAACTCAGCAAGGAAAAGCAAGGGCAAGCATCACACTAAACTGATAAGATCTGCATTTTAATTTAATTTTAAATTAAGCTTCTTAAACATTTTAAAAACCTTATTTACTTTACATAAACAATAGTTTAGTTATATAATATAGACTTAGAGAAAGAGACCTTCTAAAATGTTAAAATGTATTACTGGCACACGAAACCTTAAATTACAGTGAATAAATGAAGACTTGGTACACCACTTCTGAAAGGTTGCCGACCTCTGTCCTATAGTCTTTCCAATGACTAAGGTAGGCTTTAGATCAACCCTATAATGCATAATTCCTGCTGGCTCCCTAGACAAGAGTTTGCAGATTACTTCTGAAAGCGTATGTCCTACATGATGGTATGTAATGCTACTATTACATTAAGTGTTTCTTGCAAATGTCGTGCATTTCTACTAAACTGTTTAGTAAGGGTTTTGAGCATATATTTATTTCACCATTATTTATATGACAAAATATTGGAATATAGAAGAGAATCAACTGGAATGAAGTGATGGGAGAATATCAGTCTTTGCAGATAGCAATTTTTGCAGAACCTAATGCTTCAAAAGATTGAATATGTAAATACATCATGTGGTTTAACAGAATTGTAATTATATTATCATCTTACTTGTCAATAATTTGAAACATACTTAAAATAACCTATTTGCACCAAACAAAGGTTAAGGATGGGGAAGGAATGGAAAAAATAATAGCTGAGACACAGTAATGGATTATAGCGATGATGTGAGTTCATATGCAGACCTGTCAGAAATAAAGGACTCCAATAAAAAAGATTGTCAGTCCCTACATTAAGTTAGAAATTTGAGGTTATTTTCAAAACTTTCTGTATCATGTCCATGTATGTAATCTAGGATATGAACATCCACAGGTAGATGCACATTGCATTGAACAAGATGCATATTTTAAAAACTGGTGTGAATATGTGCACACATCAACCTGACTTTCGGTGTCATGCAAAAATAGATGGAGAATGAGTGAAGCTACAACAAGTAGTCAAACATTTTCAGTTTTGAAAACAACTTTTGTGGGAAGCTCCTGTTAGTCTTGTTCATATTTAGACTAATGAAATAAAGGTTTGATTCTGCAAAACTTTCCTCATGTGAATAGTCCTATTACTCCATCCCCCTCTCCACTTTACCACCAGCAGAGCTCAAAGTAAAAATGTAATGCAGCCTTAAAGGAGCCCACAGGGGCAGTTACCAGCTGTAGAAATATGGACAGCATAGCTCTGTTGGAGTCACCCTTTGAAGAGTGGAGGTAGTCTGTGATGAGTTGTACAAGCCCCACACTGGGAAAGGAAGGGGTAAGGAGCAGCTCTGGGCCCAGAAATCCCTGCCCACCCACACTGCTGGGCATGCTCACAATGGAAGAGGAGCTCAAAAGGGAGCAGCCCAGCTCATCTTGGCATACTGAACAGGAGAGGAGTTGTGTGGTACAGGCTTCTGCCGAAAAGCTGAGGCCCCACGTGGCCAGGACTAGGTCCCAGTGCCAAGCTATCACAGGCCCTTCGACCCTAGAGGACTGCAATAACAAGCCTCAACGAAGGGTGGGAAACCCTCCAGACCATGCCCAGGGAGGACTCCAAGGGGAGCTCAGAAATTACCCAGTGGCACCAGCAAAGGAACTGATACCAGGGTAGGAAGTAGCCCAGGGAGCAGGCGCCCACCCCCCTAGGCTGCATACTTTGACATATTGTTTCATTGGGCCCTGGGTTGGAACCCAGTGGAGCAGGGTGGACCTCGGTTTTCCTACCCCGTCTACTGACTCATCATCGGGCAACATGGCTGCAAGCAGTTACTGACTCTCACTGTTGGGCAACACTGTCCAGAGTATCTCCACTAGGTGGTACTGCCAGCCTGGGACTCAAAACACCCTCTGACAGTCCAGGAACGCAAAGCCAGCCCAGATACTCCTGGTCTCTTGCTAGTCCATGAGGAATGGGTCCCATATATTGTTCTGGAAAGAACATCATGAAACCACATCTCCTACCCAAGGGAACAATTGTGAAGGAATCTTTGCAAGGAAAACATCACTCAGATTTGCTTTGCCTTTTTCTACTCCTGTGGGTTTTCCAACAGGGAAGTGTAAAGGGGTAATAATTGATTAAGTTTTATAACACCTCTGTGAAGATGTAGGTATTGTTCTATTTTACAACTGGGGAAACTGGCACACATATGAGTAACTCTCAGTAACACAGCAAACCAGTGACTGAATCAGAAATACAAGTCAAGAGTTCTGACTACCAGTTCTGTCTTCTATAAACTATTCCCCATCCCTCTGTGGGTTAAGATTAGAGGGAGAATCCTTAGGAAAATCACAAGGTCAAATCAATCCCTAGGAATGCAATGGCTTTCTTTCTAGTCCTTACAGCGGAATGATTTTATAGCCAAAATGTGTTCTTGCTGCAAGTTGCTTTTGCCCATCCCAGCATCTTCTATTTCCACACTCTGCAGACCACCAGATGTATAACAGACCATCAAAAACAACCACATAGTCTGTCTTCATTGGCATTTCATCTGAGCAGAGAGGTCAAGCAAAATGATGTATAATTACTTCCACTCCTCCCTAAATTCCACATATCTGGCAGAGCCACCAGTAATTTACCACATCAACTACTCACAAGGCATAGACCCATGTTAGTCCAGTAGTTCCCAAGGAGAGAGAAAGAAGGGCAACTGACAATTAGAAAAAAAACACAAAAATAACTCTGAAAGAACCGAATATGCATCACCAATTTAAGTAAGGAAATAGGAGGAGTCATGAATTGCAAAAGCTTGAACATTGGTTTTTGCCCTTTGCAAAGTCACTTCCTTCTCTTCACCACACCTGTTGTATCAGTGACGTTTCATTGTCAGATCATAGTGTAAGCTAGCACACCATAAGGAAATACTAAAATCTTCTCCATTCAGTTGTGGATGTTACGTGTTGCTTTTCACAATTTCCATATGTTGAAGTTGTTTCTCTTCATCTTTTTGACGTGCTGGGTGAGATCAGGTAAGAGAGCCACTAAAAGTTCCTCTTGACTTTTTCCAAGCAAAGCAAACTAACTTTTCTAACTGCAAAATGACATGTAGATTAAACCTTATGAATCATGATTCATATAACAAACAATTAGTCAAGTGAACTTGACTGATTTGAAATTAGGACAAAGTTTTTCAGTGTAAGGTAAATAAAGAGAAAACATGATACCTTATCTCCTTCCGCATTTTTGTACACAAACATAGAAGTATGTGCACTTTATATTGTGGAAGTGTATGAGAACTGTAAAATAGCTTTTGCAAAATAGTTTTAAACATAAGATGAGATTATTCAGCATTAATTTACTAGGTATGAAGACTTTCAAAGTATATTTTACAAATGTATGAGTTTGTTATTTTTTGTTATGTACACTATAATTTGTTTGTTAAAGCCCTTCCAATCAAAATATGTGTTTATGTAAGGTTCTCTCTGTCCTAGCCTCAAAAGCCACTAAGTGAAGACAAATATAAAAGAAATTGTACAAATTTAAACAGAAAACGGTGAAATGATATATATTTACTGGAATAAATACAACTGCCCAACTGATATTTATAATTTTCTCATGTGATAAAAGTACATATTTGAGTATTCTCTCATGAGGGTGTATAAAAAGCAATGTTAGTTATACAAATGTTAGTTATACGTTGCATTGCCCTCTTTAACACTACAAAAGTAATTTTCCCTCTCTTGATATTCACCCCTTCTTGTCAACTGTTGAGAATAGGCCACTTCCACCTTAATTGAATTGGCCTTGTTAGCACTGACCCCCCACTTAGTAAGGCAACTCCAATGTTTTCACGTGCTGTATATATATGCTGCTTACTGCATTTTTCATTACATGCATCTGATGAACTGAGTTTTAGCCCACGAAAGCTTATGCCCAAATAAATTTGTTAGTCTCTAAGGTGCCACAAGGACTCCTCGTTGTTTTTGCTGATACAGACTAACACGGCTACCACTCTGAAACCTGAAACCAATAAATGTTGCCTCAAAAATGTGTGAAATCAAATTTGCAAAGCTTCCTGTTTGCTTAATGATTTACTGCTGAACAGTCTCAAATTATTTATAAACATTTCAAATCCATGTGAGTTTTCATCTAATTCCACAATATAAAGTATGCATAAGTGTACAAAGCAGATGCTTTGTCCTTTTTCCTGTATTTACTTTTCAGTGAACACCTTTTATACTCTGTTCATACTTGAAAGTAAACTTGTGAGATATGTTTAACTCTTATGTAGCATACCTTTCAGCTAATAGGTTTCACTCATCTTTGATATCTCCAACAGGATAGGCCTTTGTGTTTCCATTGATCTAAGTCTGATCTCCCTTACATTGGTTTTATGCCCATGTAATTCCATTGACTTGAATGGAGTTATTCCTGATTTACAATGATGTAAGTGAGAGGAGAATTGAGCGTCATGAGTAGATATCAAAATAGTCCCATTAATGCGAAGGAACATTTCAATATTTTAGGTATCTCAGTGTAATTCACTACACAGGTTTGAGAAATACATGGTAATAATAATTTTATCTAATTGTAAGATAGTGATATCCATTTTGGATTTTCTAGATGAAGAACAGCTGTTTCATAGTACACCAAGGGAAAATGTTGTACAGTTTAGCTGTGAATCTGAATATTTAAAATGCAATTAGATGTCTAAGTAATTTTTTTTTAACTGAAACTGTCTCCAGCATGTAGTTGTGGGTGTGTGAATGGCATGTGTGAGAGAGAATTTCTATTTTAGTTTTCTCACCTCACCTAACATTGTCATGATTTGAAAACCAGAAATTAAATTTGACAGATGATAACATTTCAGGATCTTGCCAATGTAAGACATTTAAATAGGACCTTTTGATGTTGTTAGTATGAAGATCAAAATAATTGCATCTGAATCTGAACTGTTCTTAAATTTCAGAGTTCCTCACTTTACTAAGATTCACTATATACCAGCCTATTAAAGATTACAGCCAGATGTGTCTTCTTTTATTAGTTATCTGATTTAGTGAGTCATATTAATCCACAAAGATGTAACACATTAAATAATAACTGCAAATTACTAACAAATAAAATAAAACATTTAAAACACTTTTATTCAGAAAAAATTGGTATTTAATTTTAAAAGTCAGGAATTCCAAATATGTATTAATTATGGTTACAATCATTTCTAATGAGGTGACTGAATGAATGAGCAGAGAGAAATTTTGTGCCTTTCCAGATGATAGAGCAGGAAGACTCAGGACTTTTTGTAACCCTGCTCTGTCACCTTATTTTGGTTTTCATTAACCCTGTATATATCCACTGTTCTTTGCAACATCAAGTCCATTCCTTGCAGTAACCTTGCTTTGGCCTGGTTATCAATTATTCCACAGATAATTTGGCCTCTAATTATTCCGTCTGTTAATTGTTGAAATTCACATGATTTATCTTGGTTATGTAGATTTGGAACATAGAGTTCAGAGATCTCACCTGTCAGTTGGTTTCTTGATTAAAACAATATAAAGGACCTTTCCAAGTGACGTTCTTATGTGGATCACAGTATTCTTGATTTAAAAAAAAACAAAACACACCTTTGTCAGCTAGTTTGTAATCCTCTTCATGCTTCCACCGCAATGCACTGTGGATATCGAGGGCCTCTGGACCTGCCATGTGTAGCTGTGTGGGTGATTTAACCATGTCCACTTTCTCTGTAATGCCACTTGGTTCCAGAGAACTGTGAAAGTGCTGCAGCCACTTCCTCCAATCTCTGCCAGATTCCCATTTATTTTTTTGCCTATTTATAGAATCCTCAGTAAACTGAAAACTTAGTTTAAATAACAAGCTTACATGAAAAACTACCATTTAGGAGCAGAGTAGTTACTATTCCTCTTCCTACTTCTAACTTTCCAAGAGAAATTGACAGTTTGTATTTTTATACTTAGTTTTATATAAAGAGGCATATGACAGGAGAAACTGAGAACGGTTTGTTAAAATATTGGAGGCCCAACCTTCAGTTGGGTAAATCAGCTTTGAAGTCCATTGAGCTGTGTTGATTTACACTAGCTGTGGATCTGGCCCCAGATTTGTGTCACAGAGTTGGAATGAGCATAGGCTTTAGATGAGTTCAGAATGATAGAATAAATGGAAGTACTTCAACCTTTGTGGACAATTAGAGAAAGAAAGAGGGTAAAAGAATGGCCTTTTACATAGTCTAACTGATCAAACAATTGTCTAATATTTTTATATTTTTCAGATACAGAACAAAAATGTCAAGAGTTCACAGATCTTAGCATACACAATGCTTTAGCTGGGACAGATCTAAAAGTGAAACTGCTGTTGTACACAAGGACAAACCAAAACTGTTCTGAGAGTCTCAGTGAATATAATACAACAGCATCTACATATCTGGATGTGACCAAGAAAACTGTCTTTATAATCCATGGCTTAAGACTAACAGGCTCTGCACCAGTATGGCTGAACGACATGAAAGAACTTCTGCTGTCTTTAGAGGACGTTAACCTCATTATAGTAGATTGGAACAGGGGTGCTACAACTGTAATTTATCATAATGCTGTCCACAACACCAGAAGAGTTGCAGAAATCTTGAAGAAATATATTGACCAGATGTTGGTAAGGTAGACATTTACCCTGGAGGTAAATGATTTAAAATAGTATAGCTTTGTGTGGTAAAAAAAAAAAGTGTTCAAAATATAGTGGTCTCAGAAAGAACACAATAAATACCATACTTTAAAATGTTTGTACTAATGCTTACATTAGTGACTGCATGAAGTTACTACTGCATCACTCAGATATCTTTGTTCCCACATCTGCTCCCACTGACGTCAAAAGCAGTTTGAACGCTTTGTTTCAATGGAACCGAGATTGTATTTGAATCACTTTGTCAGCAAGGAGTTTCAGATGCATTAAGCAAAGAGCTGCTATCTCAGAGGAGAAAGGTCACGTGAAGGATATGCAAAACTCTAGACCATTACATTATTAAAAATTGTTGCATCAGGTACTCCTTTAAGTACTAAATGAGATGCAAAGAAAGCCCACTTATGAACATTTCTTATATGGAATGTTTATCAGAAATCATTGATATAAGGCAGTTAAAAAACAGTTCTCCATTATACAAAATATTTTATATACTAGTGCTAACAGGAGCAGCTAAAACAATTGTTGATGAATAAAAGTCTGAGCCAAAGCCCACAAAGTCGGTGGAAAGACCCACCCATGGACTTTACTAGGTTTAGGATCAGTCCTTAATGAAATGGACAAAAATAATTTAAAGTCTCATTTATTTAATTATCAATTTTATTGTTTGAATTTCTTCCATCCCCATCACTTCCCATCCTGAGCATTCTCAGAAAGTTTGAAGATTCTGTAACAAGAAAATATCTGCACAAAGGTTAACAGAAAGAAAGTGGGTTTTGGGGGAAAGTGGTAAGAAGAGATGACAGAAGATATGACACACCATAGCATGGCCTCTAGGATCAGCTAATGCTGATTGGGTTGTACTTGCTACTTTACAAAAATATGGTGGAAAACTGACATAAGACTAAAATAATTATAACGATGTAGGCACTGTCCCATACTGGGGTAGACAGAACTACATATTGCATAATCCCAGGTCTCTGATGCAGGCTACTGCTTGCCACTTACAGTAAGCAAGTAGGCTACCTAGTGGAACAGTGGCTGCACCACACGCATTGAGCAGATCTTGCTCTGCTACAACTTGTGTTACAGTAAAATGTTCACGAGGGGAGTAAAAAGTAGGGGTAAAGATGTTAAGGCCCAGGACTCCAAACGTCATACTGACAAAATGATTGTCATGCAGCCATTTAGTTGTTAATTCACCTCCAGAACAGGAATAAATATCATACCTCTAGGACTGATTGAGAGAAGTTCCCAATCCCATGACCTTGCAGGCTCTAGATCTGCTGGTATTGCCCCTGAGTCCTGCAATAGCTTTTTTTTTTTTTTTTTAAAGTCACCTACTGCATGTGGTAAGCATTGCCTCCTCTCAAGCATTCCTGCAGATGTAGACTTGCTGAACTGGCTATGTGATATCAGAGCTTGTTAGTAGTATTTTTTAATTGTATTGGGATGGGGTCAGCTTTTAGCTGATAGTTTTAGTTCACCTTTCTAGAGAATCTGATAACACTCTGTCTCTTCTTCAAAAAAATCAATGAGATAGCCTGGAAGAAAGGTTACCAGCCTCCTTCATACGTTTTTATAACTACTGTACAGTATAACTAGTACAAAAAGTTTAATAAAAAAGACACTTAAAATCCATCATTTTTAAAAGTCAGGAAAAAAAACCCTAAAGTTTTAAGGAAAAGTAAATAGTAAAACTTAGTTTACTGAAGTCTATTCAGCTAACCATATTGTAAACCTTATGGTTAACATTTCTATAACCCATAATCAGGCCTTTTTTTTTACTGACAGGCATATGGAGCTTCTCTTGACTCTATTCATATGATTGGAGTTAGCCTTGGGGCTCATATAGCTGGATTTGTTGGAGAAATGTATAATGGTAAACTTGGCAGAATTACAGGTAAGACTTTTAAACCTGCCACCCCCATTCTAGTTTATATTCCATCATTGTCTGAGTTACCTGCATACCTAGGGTGACCAGATGTCCTGTTTTTAAAGGTACAGTCCCGTTTTTGGGGACTTTTTCTTATATAGGTGCCTATTACGCCCCACCCCCTGTCCTGTTTTTTCACAGTTGCTATCTGGTCACCCTATGCATACCACATGGGTGCCACTGTTGAAAAATCAACACATAGGACATGATTAAATTTAGTAAGACAATGGATCAAATGCATCCTTGATGTAAATCAAGAGATTAATTTGACCCAATATAACAGTAGCATAAACAGTATTTAGAAATATTACATTTTAAATTTTTTTTAATCCACTACAAAAATTTGTCCTAGGATTTAAGTCACTTTGGAGAAAAAAAAAATTGTGGCCAAAATGTTCAAACCTATTTGACTAAAGTTAGAATCCTAAATGAGAGTTGCAAGTGCCTAGCACCCTCGCAGATCAGGCTACCTGCATTAGAGGAGCTTAAATATGGATTTAAAAACCTAATTTTAGGCCTAGGGCCTGATCAAGTATTTTATGTACCGTATATACTCGTTCATAAGCCGAATTTTTTTAGTAAAAAAGGGAAGCTCCAGAGAAGGGGGTCGGCTTATGAACGGGTATAGAGAGGGAGAGGTGGGACACAGCCCCTCCCCCCAACAGAGGCAGCACAGCCAGCAGAGCCAGAAGGGAAGAGGCGGGGCCGGAGTCTGTCTGCTTCTGGCCACACTGCTCTCCCCCAGCCTCCGAAGCAGCTGCAGCTCCGGGGCTGGCAGGCTGCAGCCATGACGCTCGGCCCCGCCCCCCAGAGCAGGCTGTGGCTGCACCGCCCAACCCGCCCTGCTGGAGCATGCTGCAGCTGTGCTGCCCGGCCCAGCCCGCTAGAACATGCTGCCGCCGCGCCGCCCGGTCTGGCCCGCCGGAGCAGGCTGCAGCTGCGCTGCCCAGCCTGCCGGAGCAGCTCCAGCCAGGCCAGAAACATCCTCCCCTGGCCCTCCCCAGATAAGGTGGGAAGGGATGGGATGGGGAGAGTATGGGGGTCCTGGTCTGGGGTGGAGTCATGTGGGAGGTGGTCACAGGGGTTACTCTCCTAACCCCCAGCTTCTCCCCCCTCCCCAAAAAATTTCCCCACCAGTTGCTGTCCCTGCCCGTCAGGGTAAGCAGCTGGCGCGCCGGGACACTTTGTTTACTTAGGTTTACCTCCGTGCCTGCAGACGCGAGGTAAACAAACCATCTCGGTCCGCCAGTGGCTTATCCTGATGGCCCAGGAGCCAAAGTTTGCTGACCCCTGAATTATAGGTTCGGCTTATGAACGGGACATAAAAACTTTCCATTTTTACTTATCCATCTTGCGGGGGTCGGCTTATAAACGAACCGGCTTATCATCAAGTATATACAGTATTTCAGAATTCCTGTTGACTTCAGTGGGAGGTTTGGATGCATGTTAATATCAGTGGAATATGGGTGCATAAAAATACGGGATGGAGACCCTACATTTGAGGGATTTGTGGCAGAGATGAACAAAGCTAAGCCATTTACTTCACCAAGTTTCAAGAAACCAGCTTCTATTTTGATCCTTGTGTGTTCAGACCTGTCATTCTCTGAATTTCAGATTCACAAATACTAAATTTCACATGAAAACTCAGTCAAAACCTGACCAGTTTCACCTGGTTTTGCATTAAACTGTGTTTAACCACAAATTTCAGACAATTTCAACACAAATCTATAAATGGGGCATGGCTCGCTTGGAATCAGGACCGCTGCAAATGTTATACCATGTTCTTTTGGCGTCACAGTCTGGAAGTTTTTGTCTGAAATACACCACTCACATAGCAGACATTGTTTCTGCTGGGAAAGAATAAAGCAGTTCTGCTGACTCAGAACCATGGTGTAGGTGGCTTGTTACTCCCCTAGATAAAAGGGAGGTGGGAGTGGCTCTTTGGGTGGAGAGAATCTAGGATGTGGACTGAGCAGTCCTTTAGTAGGAACCCTAGGAGATACTAAGTCTGGAGTGAAGGCTTGAACTGTATTGTTAATTTATTAATATAGAAAGGGGTGAGTCGTGCATGAACTATGTGTTAGAGTAGATTGTAAAGGCATTTATTCAAACATGGGTGTTGAGGGGGGGTCTCAGAAGAAATTTTTTGGTGGCCTCAGAGTGCGGCCACCAACTCTTGCTAGTGGCCATTCTGACAATTTTTCCTAAAATGTTTAATTAACTTTAGGAAAAACAAATAAATATGCACATATACACATCCAAATCATTGTAATTTATGTAGATTTTTATTGCATACTCAGTAATAATAATAAACAGTTGTCTTATTCTTTACTGGACCCAAACAGAATAGAAACAAATAATGTACTTTGCACATTCTTGTCTTTTGTTGCATCACCACCCAGGAGGCTGTGGCCACATGAAAAGCCTCTGGTGGCCACATGCAGCCACGGTGGCCGCATTTGAGAAAAAATTAGATGAAAAAATTATTATTGAAATAGAACCCTAGAAAAATAATGCCCACATGATTCTTCTTTTCTTTCAGGTCTTGACCCAGCTGGCCCTTCATTCAGTGGGAAACCACCAAATGAGAGATTGGATCATACAGATGCACAGTTTGTTGACGTCATTCATACTGATATAGATGGTAATGACATAGCTTATACTTTCCCATTTGAGTTTAGAGGGAAATATACAAACTGGAATGCAGGAGTAGGAAAGAGGAGGGGAGAAACTCAATTAGGAGCATCTAAGTAATGTTGCTCTGGTTCATACTGATAAACAGGAGCAGTTCTGAGTTGTTGCTATCTAAGGGTCTGATCCCATTGTACTTAATGGGAGTCTTTCCATTGACTTCAGTGGCATTAAATAAGTCCCTATGTGCCTGTTCAAAATGAAAATGGAATTCATTTTAGAGATGAAGGGCCCAGTCCTTCTGTTCTTATATGAAGGGTTTGGTTGTCATCAATCGGACTATTTCGAGCAACCTAAAGGTTTCAGCTGTAGATCCAAAACTAATTAGTATCAGGACTTTTTTAATTTAAAAAAAGGTCTTTCTCTCTCAGGAAGCTAGAGAGAGAGTGTGTGTCAGCCTCTGGCCCTCAGCCCTCTTATAGGGCCAGCTGTGGTCTGATTGGGGCATGCTGCTTCCCCCAATCAGCCTAGCTTTTCCCCCGCTGCAGCCCTCTCCCAGGGCTGTTTTAAGCCCTTCAGGGCAGGAGCGGGGTGACCCCTACAAAGCCTTAGTAAACATTATTGTGTAATTATAAATTATCATTTGAAAATTCCATTGATGTACTTTATTACCTCAGATGTTTTTACTTTAGTTCTAGGCTTCAGGAAACCTTTAGGAAATATCGATTTCTATCCAAATGGAGGAGCAGATCAGCCTGGCTGTCCACAAACACTGTTTAGTGGTAAATAAAGATATGTTAATTTTAATTCAGAAAAGAGCATGACAGAAGATGTATCCAGTTAATCAACTAAGGTTTGGTAAGGCAAAACTGAAATCAGTGGGGTTTGCATGTATAGAACTGTTGGGATGGCTGACCCCAGTGTATTCTTTTTCTTTCCCACTCTGCTACTGGATAAATGAGAATTAGTCCATGCATACTGCTACCTAGATTTTGACCAAAATACCTGCTGTATCTTATTATTTACAATGTATACAGTGTGTGTAAGATGCTTACTACCTTTGTATATGTGTATATAGTCATGCCAGGCTTAGGGTACAGAAGTTGTACAACATCCTTCTCCCAGAGAGTTTACATTGAAAAGGTGATATAGTATTACAGACTGCAGCTGTATTGCCTTTCCACAGACCCCTTCTGCAGTGGGGACCTCCCTGTTAAGAGGGATGTCCACTGGGCAGCTGTGACCAGGGAGAGTTCCTGGTAGAATGGCTACAGCAGAGCCCCACTGCCAAGAGTAATGTGGGACCACAAGGGACCAGAACTGCTGTGGCGGGCCCTGTGCGGATGGCTCTGGATGCTTGAGAATCCATTAGGATTCCCGGGCATCTGCAGTGTTATGGAAAGGTCCTACAGCCTAGTTCAGGGGTCGGCAACGTTTGGCACGCGGCTCGCCAGGGTAAGCACCCTGGCGGGCCGGGCCAGTTTTATTTACCTGCTGACGCGGCCAGGGGCGGCTCTAGGCACCAGCAAAGCAAGCATGTGCTTGGGGCAGCCCATTTGCAGGGGCGACAGGGATCCAGCATGGGAGCTGAGAACCAACAGGGGGCCCTGGGAGCTGTAGTTCCTTGGTTAGCTCCCTGCCTATAGAGCCAGCCCTGGAGCAGGGAAAGAACTACATTTCCCAGCATTCCCTTGGCCACTACCAACAGGAAAGAGGAGGAGGGAGTGAGGTAGCTGAGACCTCATGCTGCAGCCTTCTGTGAGTGGAGAGCTGCACTCTGAAGGGTAGGGATACCATATGTTAACATTCAAAAAACAGGACACTCCACAGGGAGGGAGGGTAGCCCCACCCTGCCACCATCCACCCCCTCCGACTGCCCCCCACAGAAACCCCAACCCATCCAACCCCCCCTGCACCCTGTTCCCTGATCACCCCCTCCCGGGACCCCTGCCCCAACTGCCCCCCAGGACCCCACCCCCTATCTAAGCCTCCCTTCTCCTTGTCCCCAACTGCCCCCTCCTGAGACCGCCCCAACTTCCCCCCTAGGACCCCACCCCCTACCTGTCCCCTGACAAATCCCCGGGACTCCCATGCCTATCCAACTGCTGCCTGTCCCCTGACTGCCCCCCCC